ACACACACACACATTATATACCTTTTGAAATGTAACCGTCTGATTGATCATAGCGCCCCCCCCCCTCCAAGTAATAAAGGAATCAGGGTGTCCATTACGAATGACACTTTGACTGAATTTCCGAGATTAAAAGTCAGAAAAAAAATCTATTAATCAATCAATGAATTGATTTTAAAAATCATTGGGTTTCGCGGAACTCCTGTTTTGAATCGCTGTCATATTCAGCGCACAAATGCTGCACGTTGGAGTTGCCGCGGCGTTCCTCATCGCCTGGCGTGCGGCAGGCCTGCGTGAGGCGCGAAGATTACGCTAACACAATTATTGATCTTTGTTCCTTGTATGACTGTTTAACTTTGTGTTGTTCCTTGCAAAGAACTTTATATTTTCTAATATGAATTTATCGTCTGTATTATTGATAACTGATCAATTGTAAAATATCATACCATTATTTTAACTCCATCCTCTGGTTCATTTGATTTCACTTGCAGGTGTTGTTTTGTTATTTGTCAAAAGACATAGATTTCATAGATGTGAAAGCATTGAATATCGTGTCATCAAAAAAATTAGATTGAAAAATCAAAATGTTCCAGAAATGATCACATAAGCCCATTAGACAAAACAAATCATAGGCTACGTTTGAAAGTGGGGCGGCGATCAGGGAAAACTGCATCATCTTGTGTGCATAATATTTGATGGCTTCTGGGTCAACCGAGCTAACTATGTTACACTTTTACCAGCTTTTATTCATGACATTCTTATCGCATCCACTCACTGTTAATACTGCACAGCACTAAACTTTATTAACCTCCTCGATTCCTCTACAGCCACTAGATGAGATCTCGTAAATTATTATTCTGTCAAACACAGAGCAGAGGGGGTAGGACATTATTACGCTGTCATATAGGAAACCGGCTTACGTATGGAAGCGCTGAGGATATTTGCATATTATTGTCATTATCCTGTTTCAGCGTGTCTCCAGTATTGACGTTTTCTCGTTCCTTGCCCTTTGCGAGGCGCTTTTGGTTGGTTCCGCATTTTCCTGTTTTTTTTACCTGCATTGTCGATTCTCCTCATTTGATTGGTTCACGTTTGGTGTATGCATAAATGTATATTTTACGAAATAAGCACCTGTATATTGCTTTAAATGACATGAAAACATATTTTCATGGAAGTTCGTACATAACTGTAATGTCCTAGGGAATATTGTTTTGGAACATTTTTGTTTTTTTCCGATGAAAGCCTCCGTTTAGATCCGCACCTCTTTTTGGACCGGTGCATGAGGTGCGATGGCTGCATGAGGAAGCTAAAAGAAAAACAATAATCCCATGTTGCCCAATTAGAGTGGTAAATTTGGAACCCAACTGGACCCTACATGCACACACGCAGACGTGCGCACGCACATGCGTGCGCACACAGGGAGCATATAGCTTCAAGGCATTTCATTTCCTCTCCTACTATGACAACATCACAATATAATAGGACACGGTGTCACATGACAGCAGCAACATGGAACAATGAAATCGCTCTCAGTGCCTCTCTGTCTTGAAGGGCAAACCAGGTAGTCGTTACATCAACCAGAATTGGTTCAAATACCCCCCCGCCCCCCCTAATAAAAAAATGTGCTTGGTATTCATGAAAGTAGGGCTGGACAATATGGTTGAAAAGTGGAACACGAGAGACTATTTCATCTGAGTTGATATCCATCTATATTGAATAATTTATCATTATTCTTTTTTACTCTTAAAAATAACGATCCGGTGGATCAAGGCTGAATCCGGGTCATTTTATTGCAAAATATATTTCAGGTTAAATAAGAGTCAAATCAAGAAGTTAATTTTAAGATCAAATAAACAGTTTTGGATGGATGGATAGATGTATGGGTGGATGGATAAAAAGCGTTTAAACATAGTCATACTTTGGTTTTTGACCATAATCCGTTCCAGAAGGCTGTTCTAAAACCGAAACCACGCTCTTTTTAAAAAAAAAATCTCATTGAACACGTCTGCTCACAACGGAACCCTACGGAAGGCGAGAGGAGTCAAGTGGCGCATTCAAGTGCGCTCAGTTTGGTCGAGAACCGATTTTCCGTCGTAATCCGAGGCATAAAAAAAATGGAAATTTTGGGTCGAAAACCGATTTGGTCGAGAACAGAGACGTTCGAAAACCGAGGTTTGACTGTAATGTGTTTAATAGGGCTGGGCGAATCACCATGTACATATTGAGCGCGGATGGTTGTTCATCTCATGCCCTGCGATTGGCTAGCAACCGGTTCAGGGTGTCCCCTGCCTACTGCCCAAAGACAGCTGCAATAGGCTCCAGCACCCCCCGCGACCCTTGTGAGAATAAGCGGATCAGAAAATGAATGAATGAATGACAATTTGACATTTCTGTACAGATTTTAGCGAGGATCATGGAAGTTGACACACATGATTTGCTTTTGCGGGCCACATGAAATGATGGGGCGGGCCGGATCTGGCCCCCGGGCCTCTAGTTTGACACCAGTGCTGTAGGGTTTATTTTTGTATGATAGTAGTGTTGTAGTGTGACGGTGGTGTGACAGGGTTTGACCAGAACAACCGTTTGTGGAACAAGGGAGCATAGCATTTCACACAGATATTTTTTCACCTCCGACCCATGTTTAGTTTGCTCAATTTCTTCGTATAGTCACCGCGTGCTCTTCCATGGCACACTTTCCAGATGAGCCTGTAATTAAGTCATTTCGCAGCCTTGAGAAGCACTCTGTCGTGTACTGAGCTGAGACCAATCTACCACTAATTGTCTCTAGTTTTTAATTTCTAATGGAATTAGGGCCGGAGGGAACGCAGCTTAATGAGATGCACTTACTGTGAACGCGTGCACTCTTTTATCTGTTTACTGTAACTGATTTGGCCCCGGTGGACGGGGAAACCAGAGTGAGTCGAGCAAGGTGTTCCATATTGATGTTTTCAACGCGTTTCTGTTTACTGCGCAAAGCACTCAAGAGGATGCCCGCACATCTCCCGACTGTAACTTTACGCACGGCGGGTGATAAATGCGCCATCAAACGCCTCATCGCTGCCTGCGTAGTGACACTGGATTTGGGTTAAGAGGAAATGGAGGCGTTGCCTCTCTTACAAATTGTGTGACAATGGGGGATCCTTTCCAAAGGCTTTTGGCCTTGGCATCAGAGTTAGTGCTCGGTAAGCGTGGTTGGAGCCTGGAACTGGGAAGGCTGTTTACATAGCCTTCGGAGTGTTTGTGTCTTGATTTAGAGTCCAGACATTTCAACATCCAAATAAATCGCCTTCGACTTGTAAACAGACGAGTAAACCTCGAACAGAGGAGATGCACCAGCTGTGCTTGTGTTTGAGTTTTATTTGGCGGTGTTAAGGTCGCGCATTTTTAAAATTTGTTATTTTAAAGTGAATGAGTCAAAGGTCATTGTGCACGTTTGTATGAAGTGGACATTTTGAGGTTCTGAGTAGACTTTTTACAACGCTTATTTCGAAAGAGGGCGGCCCGGTGGGCCAGCGGTTAGCGCGTCGACCTCACGGTGCAGAGGTACCAGGTCCAATTCCAGCTCCGGCCTCCCTGTGTGCAGTCAATCTTCCATAAAGTGATTTGGATTTTTCAGATTCCGCTGTTGTGAAAATATTGATGACTCATCTATCTTAGATCCGTGTCCTCCTTTAGATTTCTGTTAATGACATGATCACACACACACACACACACACACACACACACACACACACACACAAACACAAACAGTAAAGTGATTTACAAGCACCAAAAGTATAAAACAAAAATCTGCCCGAAGACAAATGACGGTATGAATCTTTCAAACACTTTAGTGACTTCACTGTAATTTTTCTACCTTATCGCTTCTGAGTGCAGTTTGCTTTTGCGACTGGCTCAAGGCCCTTCCTCTTATTGTTTCAATATGTCAGAGCATTGTTTGAATGAGGTCACCCATTACCGATCTGGCCCCGGGCCAGCTTGACTTCAGCTGATTTAATTGAATCTCCAACATGAGTCAAACTCAAACAAGCAGAGACTGCCTTGCCATGACAGTCTCATTACTCCACATTAAGAACTCATTTCACAATGCATTGTGACTCTGGCCATGACAAATGGTGAAAGGAGATGAAATCAAATAAGTGAGTACATTTTGCAAGACTTCTCTTGGAATTTGTAAGATGAAAATCCCCAAGTACTGCTATATGCGTATTATTGAAAAGCCAAAAAGTTACCCCCCCCCCTCCATATATGAACGAATGTGAATGCCTTTTGGGTTTAAGTGTTCCCAATGTTTGCCATTTACAGTAATAGAATCACAGCCGCTGCCATTTTGCTCCTAAAATGGATTTTTTTTTTTTTTTTTTTTTTTTGTCAAAACGTTCTCATTTCAACCCACCTTGTCACTCAAGCTCGAGACAGTGGTGAGAGAATATTTGAATGGAACCTTTCAGCGCACATTTTCACTGTGAGTGCACCAAATAATGACGCCTTTATCACATCTGCCACGCGACAAACAAAAGAGGCCTTTGGTGTCGTGCGCGGCAAGATGTAATATCGGGCGCCGTAATGGTATACATTATGCATGTAACAATTCATCGCATCTTTAACAACATTTGAGCATTGCGTCAGCTGCAACCTCAACTAAAATTTCTCAATTAAGTCTGCATTCTTTCAGAGCCATTTGCAGCTCGGCCACAGCCCACGGGGCTGGGGGGGACAAAATGTATGGCGGGATCAGCATGCCAGCAACACAATAGGGAAGGAAATGTTGAGACTGCGAGGGCTGCACAGTAGAGATATGGCAGTGTTTGCTTAGGGCTAGGTATCGGGCACAAAAAACAAACATGGCTGCCCTTAATGAGCCTGTTTGCCTGCCAAAGGTAAAGACAGCTGTTGTCTCCAGCCACAAAGGAACAGGCCTCAGTGCCCATAGTAACACCACCATGTGTACTCAAGAAGGAAATTATTAAGTCCTCTTGATGGAAATAATAGTGAGTCATATGTAAATTGTGTACAGTCAGTGGTGTTTTATTGGAAATGAATCGTGGTAAGCAAATAGTGGTGCACCTGGAAAATTCGAACATACCCTGGCGTGGCGTCATCCGTTTGAAATTAAAAATGATCTTCCAATGGCAACGTTTTTAATTGCACTGACATCACAAATTATTCAGGATTTATTATGAAACGTTACAACTGGAATAGTGATTACAGAAAAAAAAAAACATCCGTTTGCATTCCTTCCTCTGATTACGGTTGTGTGGTGGGCAGCACATTGCGGTCGTGGTAAAAACGTCTTCCTCGCGAGAGTTGGGAGGTCGCGGGTTCAAATCTCTCTCCCACGTTTGCGTGGCGACAAGTCTGGCTTGGACCCCGCCTCTCGCCCAAAGTCATCTGGGATATCGGCTGCAGTTTACCTGCAACCCTGAAGAGGACAAAGTGTGAAAGAAATTGTTACCAAAACTGACATATTCTAGGTCAGGGGTTCTTGACCTTATTAAAAGTACCAAACCCAACCAGTTCAGTACATCCACCGAACCCTTCATTAGTGAAAAATAAAAATTTGATTTTTTTTTTTTTTTAAATTCAAGACATAAAAGCTGAAAAAAGCAAATAAATGATTTTCTTGTATTCCCAATCTCCATTCACTTTCAAGAAGTGTTCCCTCAGTTTTGCCGGCGTGAGACGAGAGTTGCTCAACTTGGCAGGACAAATCATGCAGATAGGACGCTGAGTCTCATCACGTTCCGTGATGCTTGTGAATCCACCTTGTACATATTCGTCTGACCACTTTCTCCTTTTGCTTGACATAGTTAACATGTGTCAAAACATTTTTTTTTTAATCACGTGACGTACTATCGCGACAGTCATACGGTGACTACTGAGCGAACTAAATTTCCCACAGCACTGATTGATCAAGCAATGTCATGTGATCATCTGTAGCCAGTGATGGCCAAGTGGGCGTGTCATAACTAATTGGCATGTTGAGTCGGCTGTGTCGTAAACTCCATGGCAGAAGCTCCGTCGAACCCCTGAGACCGACTCACCGAACCCCAAGGGTTCGATCAAACCCAGGTTAAGAACCACTGTTCTAGATATAATTATTATACCTTAATTTAGGGGTAAGCACGCCGGGCGCACAGTGCAGAGGTAGCCGGTTTGATTACAGCTCCGGCCTTCCTGTGTGAACTTTGCATGTTCTCCCCATGCCGACGTGCGTTTCCTCCGGGTACCCCGGTTTCCTCCCACATTCCAAAAAACATGCATGACAGGTTAATGGAGCACTCGAAATTGTCCCGAGGTGTGAGTATGAGCGCAGATGGTTGTTCGTTTGTGTGCCCTGCTATTGGCTGGCAACCAGTTTAGGTTGTCCCCCGCGTACTGCCTGAAGACGGCTGGGATCGGCTCCAGCACACCCGTGACCCTTGTGAGGATAAGCGGATTAGAAAATGGATGGATGAATGTGAATTTATTACAGGTACATTAAATACTGCTCTGTATTAAATAGAAAATACATGTCGGAAAGAGTATTGTGCCTTCTGCAGGATATACCGTATTTTTCGGATTATACGTCGCACCAGCCAAAAAATGCATGCAAGGAAAAAACATATATGAGTCGCACTGGAGTATAAGTCGCATTTTTGGGGGAAATTTATTTGATAAAATCCAACACCAAAAACATGCATGTTTTATAAAATAAAAATAAAATAGAGAACAGGCTGAATAAGTGCACGGTATACTAACGTTACATGACTGACATGCCTGCTAATGTCAGTAACGACGGAACATATTAAGAGTTATTCAGATAACTCTAGCATAAATAACATGCTCACAAGTTTACCAAACTATCAGTTTCACTCCAAATCACTAAATCCAATGAAATCTTCATCCTCGGTGTCGCTTTTAAACAACTCCCCCAACTCGGGAGGTAGATGATGCGCTGCTTCCTCTTTTACGTCGCTTACGTCAGACTCATTGTCGATTTATCAACACAGGCTGAGAGTACCCTCTTGTGGTTTAATGTGAAAATAACATGTGAAATGACATAATCATGTGTTAATAATTTCACACATAAGTCGCTCCAGAGTATAAGTCGCACCCCGGCCAAACTATGAAAAAAACTGCGACTTATAGTCCGGAAAATACGGTATGTAAAATGTGCAGCATACCTTTACCTTGGGCTTACTGTTCAATGACCGTCTTTGTTTTCCACCGTAAAAAGCGATATTGCGTGAGGGATGTGAAATAGTAAATGCGTGTAAAGAACTTGGTTTTCTCTGTTTGATAAAGCAGAACACTCATCATTGAACTGTTTGGAGAGGCCTTACCTACTTTGCTTTTTAGCATCTGTCCTTTGGGAGCGCATAATCGCTCTAAAAACCTCTTCTCGTAAAAGTGTCTCCTCATAAGGACACTAATGCACGTGGATTTAGGCAAAGTGGTGGCCACAGTGAGAAAATTAGTATATTTCTAGCTGCACTCGTCAGACTCAATCCGCGCACATTGCGAGCTGCACTTCGCGCTCGTTCCGGCTAAAAGTCGCATTAAGGCTGAGATGCATTTGTCACAAGAGAAGTTTGTAAGAAAGCTCGCGCGTTAATGTCCCCTACTCCGTCAACAGCATTCGCGTGGCCTCGATTGAAACAACACCAGAATCCCCCTCCACTCTGCCCCCCGCCCCCCAACCACCACTTTCCTGACTTTGTTTACAGTACAGTCTGAGCTATTGGATGACCGCATTTCACGATGGTTGCTCTCGTTTCTAATGGAGTGAGGGCTGACATTAACACATTTCACGATGTAGCCAAATGTTCAAATTCAAACGCGAGCAAGTGTCCATTAAGTGTTGCTGACAAAAAAAAAAAAGGATAGATTGCTCCATTTTCATGATGAGGACACCAAAGGCACTTACTAGTATTATGTTGTAGTTCTTGCGTTGGATCCGTTTCGATTGTGCAGGTGCGCCTCACGTTATTACCGATGAGCATATCCCGCATACAAAATAAAATGCAAATCGCGATGCATTCAAAAATGTCTTGACAGCAAGTAAATACTTTCCAACTTCAGTCGGCGGCAAAATGTAAGCGAAAAAGAAGCTGCCAAACCATTTCAAGTTAAAACGACAATAACAACTCCAACCTCTTATTAACAGTGTAGCAAACTAAAGTCAACAAAAAGTCAACACTTACTTGACATTCCTCTTCTCTTTCCTGGGTTGAATGGCAGTTGCACTCTGCATTTGACTGCTTGCTGCCAGAGTGAAAATAAGGAAGCAAAAAGCAATCCAATGCGATTACAAATGATGACTTTGATATGATAATGTATCCTTGTATTGTTTTTGGGCACTTTGGAGGCTCCAGTCCATTATCTGATTTTTTTTTTTTTTTTCTTTTAACCGGCTCTTGTCTGGTTTGCTTGCACGTTGGATGAACTACTCCTCCACGTTCTCTGCTCCTTGGTTTTAAAGACGGTAAACTTCGTGCATGTTTCAGGGTGAAGAGTGCAGCAGTCAGAGATTACAATTGAATAGCCCGTGCTGGTTGTTGATTGAGAATAAAAAGCCAATTATCATAATAGGATATGGGACATAATGACAGAATTAAATGAGTGTGACAGACGCACAATAGGCCTGCTCTGTCATCGCTTTAGCCCAGCTCGCCTATTAGAATTAATCTGGTTTGATTAAAAATGCAAATGGCCCAGAGTCGCGAACAGAGTTTACATGTTTTTATAACATTCCGCTGATTTAATTACATGAAAAATGAGTTAAGGAGATGCGCAACTGAGGCTTTCCTTTATTCAATTATTTACTTTTTGTCATCACCCTCCAGACACTGCTACGGAGAAATATGCATTTTCTCATGGCCGCAAGAGAAAGTAATGAGCTTCGTGCTTCTCTCTTTTATTGACAAGTTGATTGTTTGCTTCATCGAACCAAAATGATTTTTTTTTTTTTGGTTACCACACAAGGTTTTTTTATCAAGGTTTTGAGTACTACCGTCTGTATTGTTTGGGCTGAGCGCTTTGCAAAAAGACAAATCCCTTGCGTAATAGAAGAATACATAACATAATAATAATGGCTCTGATTTCTGAATGCCATAAATGATGCCAGTTGTATTTTATGCAACCGACACCATTATGAAAGAGTCTATCCGGGTCATGTGGGCGTTAGGTAACTTCCCAACTGTATCAACGTGCATTTAAAGTGACTGCGAGAGCTTTACTGAGTCAGTTGATTTCCATGTTGTGTGTTGGTACTTCGGACAATGTGATTTCAAGACACGATGTTATGCACGGACCCAAAAGTTAGTCATCGAACTCATTAACCGGTGCGGCCTCATTGTCGATTTGTTGTAACTTTCACAAAACAGACGGAGACCCTTGGAGTGAAAAAAATTAAGTTGTATATTTATAATTACTGTGGAGAGATTTTTTACTTTTTAGCAAAGTGTGAATACGTTCTATTCTCATCAATATCAAGGATAATAATCACACTAGAAGAATGAAGTCAGAAATATGGGTGGAAATATGTAATATTATGAGACATAATAGATAAAATATGGCAGGTCGTGAGAACGAGAGAGATCGGAGAAAACCCACGCAGGCACGGGGAGGACATGCAAACCCCACACAGGAAGGCCGGAGCTGGAATCGAACCCTGCACTGGGAGGTCGAAGCGCTAAACTGGACCACTGGGCCGCCATATATATTTTTTTCCGTGCCACGTAATAAAACGTGGGTATCGATTTTAGTTGGATATCTGATATTTCTACATGATGCGGTGTGAAAATTGTCATCGGTAATGCGCTTTATGCCCTCGGGACCGCAACTCGAAATGAGCTCTCAAGCTGTCGTCTGTTTAGAGAATCTGTACCCTGGAGTTTCGTCTTTCCACGCGTGGCGTCTGACAAATAAATAAACGGAACTGAACTGACGCCATCATACGCCGATAGACGTAGGCCGCAAATATTCAGTACGAGACTAATGAGGAGACAGGAAGTAGCGGTGACTTATGTTTTTGCGATGCGTCATTATTTGCTATCAAACATCTCTGCTAAAACAGCACTTTACAGATGAAAAATAGAATGAATTGACTCGGGTCGACTGACATGCCGCTCTGCCTACTTTCATACTTTACGCTGAGCTCGGAGAAAGGATTCCGCCTACACGCATGCACAAACACACAAAGTCCCATTGCTTGCATTCTGTTCTGACAGTACACTGGATTGTTTGAGTGAGAACCATCAGTTCCTGTCCTCTGCGTTTTCATCGTCAATCGGGACTCTGTGCAACACTGACCTTGTTAAAAGTACAGATTGGTACAATTGCTGTCTTTCGGTTTGTTTTTTTTGCGTCATCCTCCCGCCTTTGGCGGGCAAACTGCCGATGTTTGATAACTCATCGATTAAAAGCGTGTTTTGTTGTTTCTGTGTTATCTGTGCTCGGATGACATTTTAACTTGGAAAGGAAACGCTGCTGAAAGCACTTGAAAAAGTTGATCTGTTTTAACAGATGTTTTTTTTCACACGTGCATCGGCAGCATTTGCCACCGCCTCCGCCACCTTTTATCAGCTTTACCACATGTAACATAGAGATGGCAGTGACAGGCTACAAGGCTATTGAAATGACGGTCCTGAAAACGTGTACTCACCCCCACTGACCCATTTTTAATATGCTTATATTTATATTTTACATTTATATTTATCTGTATACTTTGTCTCTTCTACTTTCTCCCTTTCATAATTTTTCTGCTGTAAATTGGGGATTTCTCCATTGTGACACAAATAAAGGTTTTCTTATCTTATCTTACAAATGAATTTTAGCCGTGTTGCTAAAATACTTTTTTTTTTTTTTTTTTACATCATCCAAAAACACCCCACAAAAAAACCCCACACACACATTTTGTGTCGCCAAGGACAGGATCAATTCTAACTCGGTATCCAAACATCAGCTGGATGTGTTGAAATGGAAAGTCTGTTATCGATCTATGTACATTAGCGCTCCACGGTAACATAAGCAAGGAGCGGCGGACCAAAAAAAAAAAAAAAAGGCACTCTCTGTGTCACACTGGCGGCAAGCTGTTGCAAAAAGATGACGCCGAACTTCAAGCAGGCTTGTGGCATGTCATTGTTTATCGTTTCAAATCTCAACGTATATTTGTCTTTTGGGGGAAGAATTTTATCCACTTCTGAACATCTGGAATGAATTTTGGCCGGTTAAGACTACAAAAGCCCAATTCGCCGTTTGCCCTCCAGTGAGACCATATATGAAGGACCCATATTTCAGACATGTGAACACTTGTAATTCTATTAACTATCAAGCATCTATTTGATAAATGCTTCCATAGGAGATCGTGGTGAGGTCACATCTGTTGACCGAAAGGAGCTCGCCTTGGAGGATTTTGCTCGGCAAATGCTCCGATTGGCTGCAAGTGATGTATTGATGCACAGTTTCAAGAGATGCACCGTCTCTCCTCTCCAGGATCGGCCAATATTCACGATATTAGATTGGCTTTACTATAGCGCTGCAAAAAAAGTTGTTCCAGTTCAAATCCAAAGGTTTGCAAATAAAGTAGCAGCTGACTTAACATTATGGTTATGACAAGAGTCACTCCATACATCCTTGTGCAAGATGTGTCATTAATCTTGTGCAGAACTGCGAGGACATAGAAATTCATCTACTGCGACAGAGTTTTAGACATATTGACATGAACAACAACTTTATACAAGCAGACATCTGCTTCAGTTAGTCACTATATAAGTGTAAAGCTGGTATTTGAAACTGCTTGAGAAAAAGCATTCAAAACGCATCTTTTAGCCCGGGGGCGGTTTAAGAGCTACAAAAATCTGAAATTAAATGCAAGCAAAGTCACTCTGATGGAGCTCCGGCAGTGCAGCTGTAGATTAGAGGTGAAGTTATTCATTTAGCGTATTTTCCACAATAAAAGGTGCACTGGATTATGAGGCGCACCTTCAATGAATGGCCTATTTTGTAATTTCTTTCATATATTGGACGCACCGCATTATAAGATGCAATCTACAATGGATTCACTAGATGGAGCTCCGCTCAAGGAAATACCAACAGAACGATCAGATGTCAGTAAAACGTATTTAATAAAGCAGCGACACAGTTCACCAGTTATAACATTGAATCGTTAACGTTGAACTCTGTTGCCGCTGCTCTATTTCCGTGTTCGACTGCGAAACCGAACGTTTGAACTCTGCGTTGTCAGCATGTCTCCAGCAAGGAGCCATTTTGGGGTTGACATATTACCGTAATGACCATACACAAGACACATCGGATTTTAAGGCTCACTGTGAGCTTTTAAGAAAATGGAAGGCTTTTAGGTGCGGAAAATACGATACATTTTCTTAGGATGCCCCCACTCCTAACTGGATTGTGTTACGGGGGTTTCGAAAGCATACGAGTACGTACAGTACATCCCGCTCGGATATTTGCAAGCGCAACTCATAGTTTCCCTCCGGGGGCAAAACAACATTGCGCTCTAACCAAACGTGCACATTTTGAGGCAGTAGGGAAAAAAAAAATATCTGTGTTAAGACGGGTCACAAGGTACCTTGTAACATCCATTCCTGGAGGAGGTGAAATGCAGTTCAGGTTGGAGGAGAGATACATTGGGATGAACAGAACGTGTGTATCCGTCCTTTTACAAACGTGTGTGTCTTGAGTATGATCGTAGCTGAACTGCAGCCTATTCCAGCCGACCCAGACTGGTCGCTGGCCAATCCCTTGGGGTTTAGCATATGATGATATGGATTAGCATACTGTAGGTTAAGCAGCTAAAAGTTTTTGGGGTTTTTTTTTGTTTTTGTTATTTTGCTTTGTCTTGAAAAACAGAACATTATGACGCGGTTTAGACAAGCTGCAACCACATCTGAGAGTGTCAGTTAGACCTTTTTGGTAACTGCACTGCTTAACTGTACCTCGGCAATGACGGCAGGAAATGAGGTGAAGACAAGGAAAACCATCATGTGCCACACGACAGGGGCAAAATCAGGCCACTCGGAACGCGTGGGGGAGGAGCCGTGACCACAAAAGAACATTTTTGCTGTAGGGACTTTTTTTTTTCTCCATTTTTTTTTTCTTAACTGTGTTATGAACGTGACTGACTAGTCGGTGGTCAAAATAATTAACCTGACTGAGCTCCACCGCATGTAACGGGTCGGTACATTTGACATTTTAGTTGATGGCTGTTTTTGTGGAGACCCGACAATGCCACGAGATGCTAAGCGCGACGTGCCATGTGAAATTGAACCAGTTTGACGCTCCGATGGTAAAATATAGAGGTTGGATCATTGTTTGGCATTTTTCTGGTCACATTTTGTGTTTTCAGCACTCTGTTGCGCTTCCTGAACATTTTCTATCCTATCTGACAGAGATTATTGTCCAGCTCTTAGAAAGTACGTACGTATGAATAAAGCTAACATTATATGACTAAGTGAGTACTTTAAAAGACATTAAAAAAACGAAAGGAGTAAGAATGTTTTCACCAATAAGACAATGTTATTTGACAATTATACATAATTTAATAGATTGTTATAAGATTATAAGAAAACTCACAATGGAGAAAATCCCAATTTACAACAGCAAAGTTAGGAAAGGAAGAAAGTAGATTCCACAAGTGTTTGCGTTTTCTTGTGAACTATGCACATTTTAAATGCATTTTAGAAATTATGTAAAATAGATTAGTGATCAGTGACTGACCACGTAGATGGGCGTCGTAAGCTTAATGGAGGTTATGTGCTGCAGCTGCAAATATGCCTGAATGATATTGTTTCTGGCTCAGCAGATTATAGTTCAGAGGAAAGAGATGCCAGATTGCATGATATCAGAAAAAAAAGTTACACGATTCTAGTTGGTAAAGTTGTGAACTAAGCAACGCTGCGTATGAGGAGGCATATTTGGAATAGTCAGCATTGGAGAAACGC